ACTGCCCAGAGGCCATTGAAAAGGATTAACTCTTTAATTTTGATTGTTGGAATGAAAAGATCAAAAATATAAATTGAGATCTCCAGTAGCTATCAAGTCATTCCCCATAAAAATAAAGTTCCAGAAGTCCTGTGCCATCAAGGTTTTCAAATTCAGTGCCCACATTCCTCCTGCTAAAAAATTACCCATCACATAGAAATCCTTTTTCAAGGAAATACTGATTTGGGGGTTTCTTGTTGCGATAAGCAAGGCTTTGAAATATATCGTCAATGATGGTGGTTCTTCCCCAGACTTTGGAGAGGAGTGAGATAATGACCTAGATTATATCCTTTATTTTTTTAAAGATGAAATTACTATTTCATTTATTGATTTGAGAGAGAGAGAGAGATGAATTTGTTGTTTCACTTATTTATGCATTCATTGGTTGATTCTTGTATGTGCCCTGACCTAGGATTGAACCCGCAACCTTGGTGTATTGGGACAACGCTCCAACCAACTGAACTACCTGGACAAGGTTAGACTATATCCTTCAAAGGTGAGTAAATTGCTCTTTTAAAAGAGAGAAGTAGTCCTAGCCAGTTTGGCTCAGTGGATAGAGCATCAGCCTGTGGACTGAAGGGTCCCGGTTCAATTCCAGTCTAAGGGGACATGCCTGGGTTGTGGGCTTGATCCCCAGTGGAGAGCATGCAGAAGGCAGCCAATTAATGGTTCTTTCTCATCATTGATGTCTTTCCCTCTCCTTTCCTCTCTGAAATCAATAAAAAATATATTTTTTAAAAATAGGAAGATGCTGTAGATTTCCGGGGGCGGGGGGCGGGGGGGGGGAGGGAGAATAAATAAAAGAGAGAAGTAAGAGAAATATAATGCAGTATTCTATTTTCTCACCAGCCTTGGCCAGATATGGGAATAATAATGGCATTTGGGGGCTGGGCACAGGGGTCCCCCAACTCAAACACCTTCAGAAGGCAGGCATATTTTTTTTAATTGATTTTAGAGAGAGGGAGGAGGAGAGAGGAAGAGAAACATCAATCTGAGAGAAACATCAATTAGCTGCCTCCTGCACACCCCTTCTGGGGATCAAATCAGCCTGTGCCCTGACTGGGAACCGAATCCGTGAGAACCCGTGACCTCTCAGTGCATGGGACAATGCTTAACCAACTGAGCCACACCAACTAGGGCGGTAGCTGCAATTATTGAGCTGACCACCACTTTTTGAGGATTTCCTTATGTGATCATCACAGTAACTCTATGACTTCGTACTACTACTATTCCCATATTACAGTAGTAATAGTACTATTACTATTTTTAGGAAACAGAGATTTTGAGGTAGTAAGTGGTTTGTCTAAGATTCCACAGCCAGGAAGAGCAGAAGACTGGGATTTGAAGGCAAGCATTCTGATTCCAGAGTCCATACACCACTTTCTTCCCTGATACTTAAAGTATACCTGTGTTTATTATCTTACAGTCTTGAAAAGGAATAAAGCCTAAAAGTTTCTCCCTGGCCCAAGGTTAATCATTCACTCTGTTTTCTCCCAGCAATCAACAGTCACCCCAATTGTACAAGTGGGGACACTAATAGCTGGGTGGAGCATTAGTACAGCTGGAGCTTAACTAGGCGTGGACTCTTCAGATACGTGCTGTGTCTTCTTAAACTGTCCAAGTGAAGCATGGTCAGCCTTCAAGTGCCTTTTATGAAAAGACCTTGATCCCAGTAGAGTGAAAATAGGTATCATTTCATTTCCACTGGATTCAGTTGTTCTCACTTTTTGTTCGTAAAGGAAAAACTCCCAACCTCGCTGCCTTTAAAAGTGAATAAGACAATTGTATGTCTAAAATTAATTAGCTTTTCTATTTGAGGTTGATTTTCAATGCCAACCCAATAAAGAAGTTATTGTGAAGGATATACTTCGTTCAGCTAAGCTTCCTGAAAACTTCTGTTAATTTCCTAAGTGAATGTCTCTCAAATATCCCTCATTTCCATTCTCACTCTCACTGCCTAGGGCCCTTCCATCTTTGACTTCAGTTGTGACAACATCCTCCCAAACTGCCACCAGATGATATTTACAAAAACAAAGATTGATGATGTCACTCCCTCCTACAAACCTTTTTATTTGCTCCCAACTGGCAATGGAGTAAAATCCAAATGCTGAAGCATGATATTCAAAGGATTCATTACCAGAACACTCCCCTTTCTTGTTGTCTCTTTTCCAGCCAAACCAAAAAGTTTCCATTCATCCTAATATGCCAAGGAATATTGTCATTTGTTTTAATGTCTGACATTAAGCAATAAAGGACATGGGAGCTACAGTTAGGCAACATACTCCTCTATTAAAGAATAGGCTATGCCTTGGGTTGGGGTTAGAGGGTACAATCTATAATCACTGTTCTCTACCTCTTACGAACCAGCAATAGCTGTCAGTATCACACCCAACCTCCAGTTTCCATTTAAACCTCCTTGGCTTCCCTTGGCATCTTTATAAAACACTGCTATGCCTCAACACCTTCCAAGCTGAGATTGTTCACCCAGAGGACCGACAAACCTTCTACTGGTGCCAAACATACTGAGTGCAATCTGGAGTGTGGTATACAGTTTATATTTGATAGCTAGTGGAAAACACTGAACAATGCCTCAAAAATAATCCTTATGCCATATATATATATATATATATATATATATATATATACACACACACACACACACACACACACACACACACACACACACATACTTTTCAAAAACTGTCTCTTCCCTAAGAAGACAGCCCTTGAGAAATTAAGTTTGCTCACCACATATGTTTTCTGGGTCATGGATCTGTGGTTTTCACCAGAGAGTTTCTCTCTCATGTCCACTGATTCATTCAACTCATTCCTGTCATCAATCAGAAGCAAAATACATGTTCCCTCAAGGACCCTTATGGTTTTCACAGGAAACACATTCAGCTCTTGAGTCTTTTTTTTTTTTTTTTTTTTTACCAGTGTGTCTGGGGGGAACCTTGCACAGGCAATCCACATACCCAAAGGTCAATCACATTGACTCCTTCTCTGTTCAAAGTAGATTAAAGCCTAAGTTTTCTTAAGATTCTGTTAGGTATACATTTTAGCAGTGGTCCCTGGAAACCTATCTGACTCAACATTATGGAACTAAATTAAACCTCTCTGCACTCACCAAATGTTCTGCCAGAAGGCATCTTTGTGTTCGTCAAGGTAGATAAACAAAATGCCTCCCTCTAAAGCCAAGCCTCGTTTAAAACCACATTGAAAAGTTTAATGATACACATTTCTACCAGATGTCCTTTCCCCAAGTCATCTGGATTTCTTAGACTATTTATCACTACACTTTCTGCCAGAACTCTTGCACTGAAATCTATTTACTCAGAAAAGAGTTTCAGCTTTACCATCCAGTAAACCAGAATGGATCCGAAACCAATTTGTTTAATTCAATAAGCAATTCTGTGCTCCAGAACTAGACATTTGCCACTTGAGCATCTGGGTAAATGCTGCCCAGGAAAGTGAAAACTTGGGTCCTCACTGCAGCCGAATCCCTGCAGTAAATATGCCTCTTCACATTCTTTAGAAGCCAAAACTACAGATTTCAGGGATGCTTCTCTGAACTTTGCTCCACCCCAAGCATGTCTTACACATTCCTAACAGTCTTGGGCGGATCTGCATATATTCATGTCCACATTGCAGCCTGCCACTTACTGAAGTGGCCACTCAAAAGATTTTATGATCATGTAGACTTTATTAGTCTTTATTTCAGTCAGAATTATTTATTTGCCTTTCAGCAGCACATATGGTTTAAGACAAATACAGTAGCTATTTTCTCTTTAGTCAAGTCTAAAAACTGCATCCTGGCATTGTTACTGTGTTTCTCCAAGTGCTTCCAAATTGATAAAACCATACAATATCTCAATGGAAAGTCACTGCCAGCCAACACGGTTTGACTGTTTAATAAATGACAATGGGCCTAGCCGGTGTGGGTCAGTGGTTGAATGTCGACCAATGAGCCAAGAGTTTGCAGGTTCAATTCCCGGTTAGGACCTATGCCCGGATTGCAGGCTCAATCCCGGAAGGGGGCATGCAGGAAGCAGCTAATTGATCTCTCTCTCTATTCCTCTCCCTCTCTTTCTAAAATCTTTTAAAAACGTATTTTAAGTAAATATCTTAAATAAATAAATGACAGTGTTTCCTTCGAGTCTGCATTTAAAGACCTACCTACTTTGGCTGCTATCCATCCTCCTTCCAGTTACTACCCAACAAGGCTCCTTTCCATTGCCCAGAAACCCCCCCAGTTTCACCTGAGTCTGCACTCCCATCCCCCCATCACTTCTCCAAAACACATTGCATGTGCCACATGGTTAAACTGAGTAGATCTCCCCTATATTTTCTTTCTGAACCTCTTTTTGCCCTTTCTTATCTCACTAAGAATGAACAGGTAAGTATAACATGACATGATTAATGATACAGCAAAATATCAATTTTTAAAAGTTTGAAAACAAATCTCTTTAAGTTTAGGCCTTAAATTTAAATTGGCAGGAATGCACAAGGTGGTAAGTTCTTTTGTAGATCATATTTTTACTTTGAGGTTGCAGATATTATTTTGAGATTGCATTTTCACACCATTTGCATTCTCATATGTATTGTGTTACTTTTTTAATCACCAGAGGATATTAGTTTTTAAAAATATATTTTATTGATTTTTTACAGAGAGGAAGGGAGAGGGATAGAGTTAGAAACATCGATGAGAGAGAAACATCGACCAGTTGCCTCCTGCACACCCTCCACTGGGGATGTGCCTGCAACCAAGATACATGCCCTTGACTGGAATTGAGCCTGGGACCCTTCAATCCGCAGGCTGATGCTCTATCCACTGAGCCAAACCGGTCAGGGCACCAGAGGATATTTTTATGAGAGAGAGAGAGAGAAACATTGATTTGCTGTCACATTTATTTATGCAATCACTGGTTGATTCTTCTGTGCCCTGACCGGGCATCGAACTGTAACCTTGGTGTATCAGAGTGACACTCTAACCAACTGAGCTACTCGGTGGGGCTATTTCTGTTTTAATGTGTAGATTTCCCCTTTACAAAGCTCAGAACTTTTACAAATTTGCCTGCCCCAAGGGTCACAAACTTGCAGCTGGACTGAATGTGGCCCATAGCTATTTTGTTTAAAACAGTAATTTAGAATTTGGAAACTTTTCACATTAAAAATATAAATATTCAGCGAGTCTTCAAAAACTCTGGCAACACTAAGTGCTCATTTTCCACATGGAAACAGTTGGCTAGAACTGAGAATCTGCCGTTCGCTGAAAGCAAGTCCACTGCTCTTCGGTTCACCCAAACCCCATTATCTCCGGATCTGGACTACTGCGCCCATTACAGCCACCACCTGCTCCTGGGGCATTTAGATAATGAAATAAAGGGCAGAGGACCTTAACTCTGCCAACACAGGATAGCTCCAGTATCATCACAACTCAAGATCTGCCCCTCCTTTTCTTATAAAGCAGGCGACATACCAGCCAACCATAGTCAATTGCAAAAACTCCCATATTCTGTCTCATTGGTTAAAAAAGAGTGTTCCTGAAATGCACTGGCTGTTTCCTCTGCCTTGAAAACTTGCCTGAAAATATCCACATGACTAGCTCCCTCACCTGGGTGGGACAGGTGTTAAATTCTGCCTTACTTTGCACTTTTCTCCATCTCACCCCTACCTTTAGCATCACCTCCACACAAAAACATCTGCTCTAAGTGGTGGGGGAGCGCCAAGCTTATATTTCCCACGAACAATTCAGCTGGGCAGCCTCCAGCTCCTCTTGAAGGCCTTTCCCCTCGTCTGAACTGGGCTTGGCACCTAGTCAGCATATCTGCCTTCCAGAAGATTAAGAACCTTTCTCACACAGTTTTCTATTTGAAGAGATTCTGTTCAGATAGATCCCTCATCCTCAAGGTACTGCCTCACCCCAAGAGAATTGTGAAGAGGGGTGGTGGTGTCCTTCAACAGACCCTGTGATCATTTGGGTCAGTAATGACATTGGAGGTGGAAGGCTCCTGGCTTATGGTGAGAATAGTGGTTGTGTGCAATTAGGGGTTTCCCACGGGCTTGTCCATGCTTGGGGAATGAGGTTTCTTCTACTCAATGCTTGGGGTTTGATAAGGTGGTTTAGTCCACCACCGGGGCCATTTGGTGTAGAATTGCTAATAGCCTAAATACAGGTCCTAAGCACCAGGAAGGTAAGGGTGTCCTAATATACAGGCAGAAAAACAGGACATGTACTTGGAGACTAGGCTAGAAATGATTTGACACTGGAGGGGGCCAGCCATCAGAAGGAGCAGGGAGAGTGGAGTAAGACCTCAGGCCTGAAAGAATAGGGCAGCAAGAAAGACGCCAAGTCTTGCTCACGGGAGTAGGTAGGACACGTGAAGGAAAGAACTTAATGTTAAGGAACAGCTGAGATCCTGGGGATAGAGCTGTGGATCACAGCCAGAGAGATTCTGGCAGCAACGTTGTGAGGTGAACTCACAAACTCTAACCCAAGTCTTTAAAATTCCATTGGTTCTAAACAGGATTTATAGAGAGCCAATTATGTCTTAAGCACATGTTAAGCACCTGTGATATGAGAAGACTTTTATTAGGCACTGTGGGGGTATACAGATGATGTTGTTTCCAAGGGGTTCACAGTTTGGTAGGGCAAAAATTAAAGTTAAATAAATGATAATAGTGTATCAAATATGTTAAGAATAGGATGACAGGGAAGGGAATGTTGTAGTGGTTAAGAGCTTGGGCTCTGGGTTCAACAGATCTGAGTTTAGATGCCGATTCTCCAATTATAGGTTGCATGATCCTGGGCAAGTCACTGTGCTTCTCCTAGCTTCAGTATCCTTTCGCATAAACACAAATAATAATAGTACTTACCTACTGTATAAGAGTCTTTGGATGATCAAATTTTTTTTGCCTGGTGCTTAGTAAATTCACAATAACATTGACTATTATTTGTAGTAAAAGTTATAATTATCAGGGGGAAGCTACTATCAGAAATGTTCCCAAGAAAAGGTGGCATGTGAGCTGAATATTGAGAAATAAAAGAGAAGTTGGCTGGGTCTTGGTTTGGGAAGACGCTAACGAATTGCATTAGTTTTTTAATTATGCCCTGCTAAGTTCCTCGAATGATTTTAGGTAGGATGATGAATCCAGAGTTAGTCATTGAGAGTGAGATGCCAGTGCGCAAGCAACACAAGATGTTTTCACTCTTCATTTCTAACCCTGCTGTAATCTTACATATTTGCCTCATTAATGATGGTAGCTCCATGAAATGAATACAGCTATTAATTGTTTTTCTATTTGATTTTGAATGCTAATAGAAATAACACAAAATAAAATGGATAATGCTAAAATTGTACCCAGTAAACTTTGTTTTGATTGAAATATTGACATTTAAGTCTCAACCCAGGAAAATGGGCCTTGCAAGGAAAAAACAAAAACAAAACACCTTTACTTTGGGCAAAATTACAATAGATAAAATTTGGTATGGACAAAAAGAAACAAAATACGACCAATTAATAAATCAAATCTTTGTTGTAAAGGTAGAAAGGAATTAATTGAAATTCATTCAAAGGAATTTTAGTAAAATAAAAATTTAGTAAAGCTTAATTGTACTCTATAGGCAATTAATGGAGAAATTAAATGTCCAGAGACAAGTTTACTCCAAAAGACTCCTTTTGGTTGAAAAGCTTTCCATATTGATATGATACTGATGAACATGTTTGCGTCCACAAACATAAGATCCATGGGTGCAACATAGTGGTTAAAAGTCCCTAGTGCTTGTTTATGCATCTGGATGGATGGGTTGAGAAAGCAGTTGAAACTCTGTCTAGAACTTAAGAAGTCATGTTACTAACAGGGATTTTGAAGTCATCACCACATAAGTATTAACCTAGTTTTTGGTGGGGATTTTTTTTTTTTTTTTTTTTGCATCTTCCATAAATAATACGTGCCTAGGAATCGTAATATATAAAGAGCCAGGGTCTGTAACGTCCAAAACGACCAAACGGATGACTGAATGCCAGGTTGTGCGTGCAGCGGAAGTCAGTCCTGGGTCCCGGCACCGCGGCGATCCAGCACTGACTACCACCACTGCAGGCACCACGGCAACTAAGCACTGACTGCTGCTGCTAACGCAGGCGCGATGCGATTGGTGGTGGTGGTGGTGGGGGAGCACCATTGCCCTGCAGAGGGAGGCCCAGGCTACCCAGGTGGCGGCGGTGGGCGGGGCCTCCCTCTGTGGGGCGATCAATCATGGGGTTCCCAGACTGCGGGAGGGCACAGGCCAGGCTGAAGGACCCCCTGTCCCCCAGTGCATGAATTTCATGCACCGGGCCTCTAGTAACCTAATAAATGTCTTGAATGCAGCCCCGCAAAGCATTATGAACAGAGGATTTGCACCTGTACAGTCATTTTAACTTAGCCCTTACTGAATACTTTATAAAAAAACGAACTCTCACAGCTTTGAGAATAATCAGAGTGAAGCTGAGGTCCACCAACACTTGGACATCTAGAGTATAATCACAAATACTGCTAAGAAATACACTCTCTCCAGTTCATAGATGAAATATTTTTATCCTTATGTTCCTATTCACTGAACATGTCTTGTTCTTTTAAAAATTGTTTTTGTGTGTGTGTGATTTAATTTGCTGCTATTGATTTCCTCATTCTCCACTTCTCGAGGTGATGGAAGATCTAGAGGAAACATTTGAAGAACTTGAGAACTACTCGTATTCCTTGGACTATTCCTCCCCAGAGTCTCCTTTGGAAGAGAAAGCCCCCCTGGAAGTTGCTCACTGGGTCTCCCTGGTGTTGTACTGTTTAGCATTTGTTCTGGGCATTCCAGGAAATGCCACTGTCATTTGGTTCACGGGTTTCAAGTGGAAGAAGACAGTCACCACTTTCTGGTTCCTCAATCTGGCCGTGGCGGATTTCATTTTCCTTCTCTTCCTGCCCCTCTATATCGCCTATGTGGCCATGAATTTCCACTGGCCCTTTGGCCTCTGGTTGTGCAAGGCCAATTCCTTCATCGCCCAGTTGAACATGTTTGCCAGTGTTTTTTTCCTGACGGTGATCAGCCTGGACCGCTACATCCAGTTGGTCCATCCTGTCGTAGCTCATCGGCACCGCACGCTAAGGAACTCCCAGATTGTTACTGTGCTCGTGTGGCTTTCGGCTTCTCTAATCGGTGGTCCTTCCCTATACTTCCGGGAGACCATGGAGGTGAATGACCACATTGTTTGCTACCACAATTTCCACGAGCATGATTCTGACCTCGCTTTGAAGAGGCACCATGTTCTGACCTGGGTGAAATTTGTGAATGGGTACCTTACCCCTTTACTTACAATGAGCATTTGCTATTTGTGTCTCATCTTAAAGGTGAAGAAGCAAAGCATCCTGGTCTCTAATAGGTATTCCTTGACCATCCTAGCTTTGGTCCTGGCCTTTTTGATTTGCTGGACTCCTTATCACATGTTTAACATTTGGGAGCTCGCGATACACCACGGTGGCTACTACCAGCAGGTGCTGCGAGCTGGCCTCCCCGTCTCCACCGCTTTGGCATTCCTCAATAGCTGCTTGAATCCCATCCTTTATGTTCTAATTAGTAAGAAGTTCCAAGCGCGCTTTCGAGCCTCGGTTGCTGAGATACTAAAGTACACGCTGTGGGAAGTCAGCTGCTCTGGCACGGTGGGCGAGCAGCTTAGGAGCTCTGAAACCAAGAAGTCGGGTCTCCAGGAAACAGCTCAGTGAAATCCTTCTCTCCCACAAATCAGCATAAGGCTTTCGTGTGGGTCCCCTGACAGATGCTTTCAGATTATTTGGTTCCAAGATACCGAGCTGACCATAGCTTTTTGTTGTTGTTTTTGGTCAGTTTGTTAGCATCACATTTTTGTGTGGATATAAAATTAAGGAAGGATCTCCATTTTTTTTTCGCCTGCCACTTATATTATGTGTCATTCTTGCTAATTATACCATAGTGGATTAATGACCACTGTGGAGGTGAGATCAGTTATTATTTTAAAAATCTTAATAACTTTCTCTAAGTCCTAAATCTTAATATTAAATATGTGATCAACTCATTTGAAAAATGGAAAATTAAATTTGCTTAAGTTCACTTTAATTTAACCTATTAGACAAATTCTTAAAATGCAACGTGTACTTCTTTATTTCATGTAACCTTTGTATATACATTTATGAATTAAACTAATAGTTGGTTATAGTAGTTTAAAACATTCTTCCAGTTGGCTATTAATAAATTATCTTTATTGTTGAAAGTATTACAGATGTCCCCTCCCCACCCAGCCAGTTGGTTATTAATGCTTCGTAAACTGCCCCCAAATCTAGTTGCTTAAAACAACAATTTAGTAGTATTACATCTCACAATTCAGAGCCAGGAATTCAAACAAAGCACAGAAGAGAGGGTCCTCTCTGCTTCACAGTGTCTGGAGCCTCAGCTGGACTGGGAATACCCAAATGGCTGAGGTTTCCAACAGCTGGTGGCTGGCTGAGCAGCTCTCTTCCCTTCCCTCTTCTCTCCCCATCCCTGCCCTCCCTTCAACCTCTCTCCCCTCCTACCCCCTCTCTCGCCTCTCTTTTCTCCCTCTCCCTTCTTCACACAGCTGCTCCCACATGGCACCTCAGGGTAGCCAGACTTCTTAAATGGCAATTTAGAGCTCTGAGAAACCAAGGTGGACATTTCCAGTCTTCCTAAAAGCTGTGCCCTGCACAAACACAGTATCACTTCCCTTGTACTAGTATTTTATTGGTTAAAGCAGATATAAGCCTTTTATTTCTATAATGATCTTTATATAAGCACCAATAAAGCAACCTTTAAGTCAGATGAAAATCTGTTGCCTTATAGACTGTAATAATATTCTGCCCTGTTTTCATTTATTCCTTTAGCAAATCGGTGGGTATTGAAGAGATACCAGAACCATGGTATATAGACATTGAGAATGCCAAGAATCATAAGGTACTTACAGTTTAGAGAGTGAGATTTAAGTTGCATAAAAACAATCACAGAACAAGGCAGATAGTAATAAGGGCCATAGGAGAGCCAGGAAAAGAAATGGCATCTAGGTAAAGAAACATTGGAATTCTATGTCCTTGCCTTTGAGGTTCCCTAAAGATTCTGCTCCTATCTTTTGTCCCTGCTGATATCCTCATCTTTTATGAGTATAAAATCTGCTATTCACTGCAAATTTAAAAATAGGCTTAATTATATATAATTTCTCAATTTTATTTTGAAAGTTATTAGGGGGGCTATGTTATTTCTTGATTTAACACCCTTTTAAACTCTTTATTAAGGTATTACTTACGTGTCCTTATCCCCCTTCACATCCTTTTTTATTTCATCTCTTCGTTTTGGAAATGCTAATATCAGGTCATTTATTGGCTGTGTTCTTTATTGTTAGCCCCATGGAACAATCAGGTCTGGCTTTGGAAATTATCCCACCAAAATGTGTGGCATAGCTCAGCCTGTCCTCAACCTGATCATTCCCAAACTCATGGTTTCTGCCCTGTGCAGTGTAGGTTAAGGAAAGGCCGGGAGAGAAAGGCTCTTTGTGCAGCCTTTACCCTTGACCCTCCACCACCAGGGTTTGAGATTTTCCACTCTGGGTTCCCTTTGACCCTTGAGGGACAGGTCCTGGGTTCCCAGGATCAGGAGAGAAGCTGGAGGATCCAAGAAAAAAAAGAATTTCTTAGTCTCATCCTTTTTTGAGCAAATGGAGACTCAGGGATATGGGAGAAAGAGTTGAGGAGCAGGAAAGGGATTAAGCAGCCAAGAGCAGGAGGAAATCAGTGGAGCAGGTGGCTTTCTGGAAGTTACATTTCAAGGCTTTCTAACCTTAGTGGGTTAGGAGCCCACGCAGAGCCATTTATTGAATTTGGTTCAGTGGGTACAGTGTTGCAGGCTTGTGAGCTCTGCAAGGGCCTATGACGATATTTGAGATCTTAAAAAACATTATTGGATCTAGAATACAACAAGAAGACTGAAAAAGTAAAAACAAATACTTAATTACATGTCTATAAAATATACCTTCATGTCACTTGGTCAAAGGAAGTATTTAATAATTATCTAAAAATGTATTTAACATGGATTTCAATATGTTTCAATATCTGATGTGAGGAGTGGAGCTTCCAAAAAGAAAAATGCTTTAAGGAAGGTTTACAAAGGTCTTAGAGGAATTCATTTAAGAATCTAATGAAAGTTATGAGTTCTTTCTACAGAAAAATGCTTTTAAATAAAATATCAGGGAGGCCTTAGGCCCCAGGCTAAGAATTCCCCTGTTTAGTAGCTTTTAAAATAGCTGCCAGTGGGAATGTTGATTGGGACTCACTAGGAGAAAGCAGTAACCAGTACAGGTACTTTCCAGCAGAATAATTTTTTGTTCTCAGTCTGAGGGAAGATCCAAGGAGGAAAATAGAAGGACCCACACTTAGACCGAGGACTGGGTACTCCAAACCTCCTCCCCGGTGGTTGGAATCTGGTCAATGAGGCTTACTAGGGGTCTAATAGCCAAGAGTAGGATGAATGACTAAAAAGACAGAAGTGGGAGGCTGGACAGGCATTGCAGCAATTTGGAGAGGAAGCGAGGGAGCTCAGTGCCGAGTTGGCAGGAGGGTAAAGAATCCCAGGAAGCTCAGGGACTTGAGCACAGACTTATTGAGACAGACCTGCCTCCTCCTCAGTGATAGGAAGCTCTTAGGAATAGCTCTAGGGCAAGTCCCAAGGCCTCCGGAGGCTGAATATCTAGATTTGGATTATGGCTCCAACACATCCTAGCACTGGGAGCTTGGCTAAAGTAATTCATATTTCTAGACCTCAGTTTTCCTTATCTGTGAAATGGGTATAACAATAGTATCTGCCACATAAGGCTATTGGGAAAATTAAATGAGTTGATGCAGGTATTTACAGGGCTTCATCTAAAAGCACTTAAAGTGGTACTTAGCCCTATAAATTCCCGATAAAAATTAGCTAGATTAGCTAGTGTTATCCTTACTCAGTGAGATTCCTGGCATGTTCTGACATTGGAACTTGCTTAGGAAATGTTAGATTCCTTCCTCCTCTCCTCTTGAATGAACATCAAAATTTCATAGGAAGAATCAGGTAACTACACAGACAACTTTAAAACAAGACAGTTTATAAGTACTGCAAAAGAATAATGTGCTGGGAGGCTGCAAGGGGCAGGAAGGAACAGAATTTTTTTTAAAAAAGACCTCTTGCAAGAGGTAGTTGAAGTGCATTTTGAAAAATGACTACCATTTGACAAAGTGCGGTGAGGAAAGAGGCTATTTTAGATGGATGGCACAGCAAGAGCAAATGTGCAGAGATTGGAAAACACGGGGCTGTGTTCAGAAAAGACAATAGTCCCATTTTATAGGGACAAAGTGAAGATGGGAGATTCGGAATTGATGTCAGGCGTGAAGAGCAATCCATAGTTCTTCACTACGCTTACATATGGGCAATGAATATTTATAAGTCTATGGACACTTCCTTTGATTTTTACTTTCCTGAAAACTATTCAGGCCAATGAAATTCCAAACGATAGACTCATTTGGGATATTTCCTGAATGCAACTATTATCACACAGGGCATGCAATGAGAGGATGTCTGTTTACCAGTCTCCATTTCCAATTTAAGTTTACCCTTAAGTGATACCTTCTCACTCTCCCTGAGGGTATGAAGCAAGGGTTACACTGATGAAATGGGATTAAATTGTATAAAAGCAGGGATGAAGAACTTTCCCCATTCTATTACCAACACATTAGTGGACTCTGAAGACCTCTCACTAGAGTAATCAGGCAAGTCGTCTTTCAGTACTCCCTCTAATCTATAAATGGTGATAACAGTGTCTGCCTTGTTTATCTCCTTGGGTTATTATGAAGTTCAAATTAGACAATGTATATGAGGCGTGTATTTTTTTTAACCTTTTTATCCTAAGGACAATAATTGCCATTGCCAAATTGTATTTGTCTTTTTTTTTTTTTTTTTTTTTTTTTTTTGCGGGGGCGGGGGGGGGGGGCGCGTGCGGGGGAGATTATACATATGTCTCAAAACACAAATGCAATTCTTTTTGTATTTGGGTCTTTGTCTATAAGCTTATCTTTGATAAAAATAGTCAATGAAAAATCCAGCATTTTCCATGTTGCTATAGTGTCCATTATTTTTAAAAGTAATTCTATTAAGCTTATAGAATATTTCACTGAGTATATATGCCACATGCAGTCATTCCCATTTACTTTAGGATTATAACAGTCCTTTTATGTATCTGCTTCCATCCACACCATGTCCGGATCAGAGCTCTGTCTTTATTTTGTCATTCTCTGGCTCCCCGTGAATGAGCCAGCGTCTAATACAAATGCCTCTACAACCTGGCCCCACCCTATAAAATTCCACACACTGCAAAACACAGCCAAACTGGTTGAATTGCCTCCCAGATGTCTATCTATCATTCTGCCTTTCACACCCTCCTGGAACATTCTCTCTCTCTCAAACATTCTTTCTCTTTTTTCACAAACTGATCAAAGTCTATCCAGTTTAAGCCCCAATTTCTCTAAAAACGTTTTCTTAATTCTAGCTTTCCCTGACTTTCTGAACTTTTGGATTGCTTGCTTAATCACAAAATGACTTTTATACTTTTTAAAATTGTTATGTGTTTGAACCACCTCCCCATAGTAATTTTCTTCAATTCTTTGTATTTTTATAGCAGCTTAACAGTGATGCTGAGTGAATCATGTTTAATTCCCTCCCACACTCTACCCAGCCCTGCGCTGGGGATGCTGATCACAATAACACGATTTGTTATTGTAATCACCTATGGGGCATGCAAAAAGAGATGACCTCTAATTTTTCCTGTCTTCCACTCCAAAGACAAACAGGAAAAAAAAATCTTTGTCTACATATACTTAGGCCCTCTGAAATAATGGGTTCAAAAACAGTTCATTCAGTATCCTGGCTCACATGCAAATGTGAGCATTGCTCATAAATATCAAAAAAATTGAAAGCAATTTAAAAATCTAATAAATAGCCTGGTTACATAAGATATGAAACAATGGGTTATGTAACTTAAAAACGGAGATGATTTTTATGTACTGACATGAATATCCAAGATACAGATGAACTCCAAGATACCTATTTCTATGGACAAAATGCAAAATACACACGGTTTGGGTTGTATGCTGCAGTTAGTCCAAACGAGTTTGCCTCGCCTAGCTCTGGAAAGACCTAAGAACCTGGTAATGTTGGTTGCTTTTTTGGAAGTGAACGGGAGGCCTAGAAGATGGGCGATTTCATATATAACCTCTTGAATTTTGAACTATGTTAATGTATTATCTATTTTGCAAAATATGAAATTAAAAGATACTATTAAATATATTTCTCATTCAAGGCTGTGGAGTCAGACTTTGGTCACATTTCATCTGTTACCTTTTTAAGATTTACAAGACAGCTGTGGCTTCAACTCACTAAATTTTTAAATTCCTTTTATTTTTAACCAAATTTTCGATCATTAGTTTACCATTACTATTTGTTAAAACTTAATGTTTTGGTCAAGCTATTTAGTACCAATCCCCTGAATATGTCAATGACTAAATTGTTTTTTAGCTGCTATTCACTAGTTACTAATACATATCTCCATAGCAGCATTTCCAGGATCCATAGGATGTGTCTCCAGAAAATGAAAGACTGCCCTCTGCTGGCTCTCATGATACTGACAACCTGAAAATGTGTCCAGTGATTTTATTTTTTTAAATCTATACAAACATAAGCCCCCAATTGGAAATAATCTGAATGTCCATTAACAGGCAAGTTACATACATGTGACATGGTCACACAGGAACTACTACTCAGACAGAAAAAGTAATAAACTATGAACACATACAGGACTATGGATTAGGTTCATTATGTTGAACAAAAGAAGCCGACTCGCGTGCATACTGGTTGATTCCGCTCACACAGAGCACGAAGTATGTGTCTGTCTTCACCCAGTGGTTGTCTTGGGTAAAGGGGTGCGAATATTGACTAGGCAAGAGCTGATTTGTGGGGAAACTCAGGGTGCCTGTGGAGGAGGTTTGAAGACAAAGCCTCAGGGAATGTGAGGTGGTTTGATCCCCGCCAGCACTGAAGCCCACTTGGAATTTAATTCACGAATTGAGAGCGATTCCGGTGGCGTACGTGGCTGTGCTTCCCCAAGTTCAGCTGTATAAGTGCACATATGCAGGAGACAGAAAAGTGGATTTAACCAGGGTGTGGTTTTGCCAACTTAGATGAAGGGAGATGTGCAAGGAAGTTTAAGTTCCTTACACCAAATAGATTCCTAATCCCATCACCAAAGGTGCAAAATAGACCCCAAATGATCCTCCCTCCCACTTCTCCATCAGTTCTAACTCCAACGGGCTCCCCCAGGAGCCTGGGGCTCTGTGCAATTGCAGCCTTGGGAATTTTCCACACACACCACCTCCTTGAAGATAGCTTATCACTGCATTAAAGGCACCTCTCACCACACCTGCAGAATAGAGCACAAGATTAAACTAAACTAAACCCCAGTGCCATTCTCCAGCCCAAACACCGTCTCAGGTATGATCAGATTCCCCAGAAAATGGTACAAGCAGTTCACTCTTGAGCACGGGAGGTAGGCAGGGAAGAGGACTGGGGCAAAAAAAAAAATGGAAGGGTGAAAGGAGAATACAATCTAGGCTTCAGCTTCTTATCTTTATTGTTTAAAGTATTACAGATGTCCCCTTCCGCTCCCATTAATGCCCTCCCCTACTCCCCCCAAGCCTTCACTGTGTCCATGGTTTCAATCTCTTCCCGTCCCCTTGCCTGCCCCGTGATTTTAGAGTGGGTCTGTTGGACTTAATTGCTTAGTGAAGATGATTTCAATCATCAGTATGTACATGGCCAATTAAATAATTTTTCTCTAGAACTTAAACAATTTTCCATACTCAAGTTAGTCACACATAAAACCAGATTGAGAGGGAGGAAAAGAACAGCATTGTCTGGGTCTGCTAGGAAACTTTTGACTTCAAATCATTTAATCTCTTTGGTCTACAGTGGTTCTCAACCTTGGCTGCACATTAGAATCACCTGGGAATCTTTTTAAAATCCTGATTTCTGGGCTTCATCCTCCGGAAAATCTGTTTCTTTGTTATGGGGTGGGGCCACAACATTGGTAACAAAGAAACAGAATTTCCGGAGGATGAGGCCCAGAAATCAGGATTTTAAAAAGATTCCCAGGTGATTCTAATGTGCAGCCAAGGTTGAGAACCACTGGTCTACAGACTTTAGAGGTCAGCAATTCCAAGCTCTACTTTCAAAAACTGTAAAAAAAAAAAAATCAAATGTTACATACATCCCAAATTAACTAAGATGGAACTGTTACCAGAATTGGACAATCACCTAACATAATGCCTTCATCTCAGTACATTCCCTGCAGCACTAACCTGAGTATGAAGTCCTAGCCCAATAGGTTCAATCAGATTTCCAAAAAATCAACGTCCTTAGTCACTACCCACCGCAACCCCCAAGCCAGACTTTTGAACAAGTCTGGGGAGAGAGAAACATCGATTCAATGAACTCACCCTGGAGGTAAGGGGATCTAGCCTATAACTGAGGTTCGTGCCCTTGACCAGAATCAGACTCTACACAAGGGCCGACATTCTCACCGAGCCAAACTGGCTAGGGCTGGGGCTAATTTTTTTTTTTTTAATATTTAATTCAGAGAGGAAGGGAGATTAATGATGAGAGAAAATCATTCATTGGCTGCCTCCTGCACGCCCATCTGGGGATTGAGCCTGCAACCTGGGCATGTGACCTGACGGTTATCTAACCAGGACCTCCTGGTTCATTTGTCATAGCTGAACTGAGCCATGCCGACCTGGCTGAGGCTAATTTCTTAACCCAAAATTTCCACAACTGAAATTTTTAGCTCCCGATTTCTCTTAAAAATAAAGCAAATATGAAAATTTAAGCCATCACTAATGAGTACAGAAATTATACTGAAATTAAGTCCGTTTAAATCAGTTTATAAAAATCTAAACACCTACCTATATAGTGTATGTAACAGGTAGTTTCTCTTTTTTTTTTGGACTAATGTTGATCCAAATTTATATTATGAATTATAGTCACTGAATTTCTCAAAATGGAATGAATATAGTGAACCATAAACATGAGCTTGAACTGTGTGGGTCCACTTACATGCAGAATCTAAAAGAGTCTTCTGTACCTCTGGGTTTTGCATCTGTGGATACAGGAGGCCAAAGGCATGCCTTGTCTTACACCATTTTATAAGGAACTTAAGTATCCAAGGAAGCCCTGGGACCAATCCCCTAGGAATACTAGGAACTTAAGTATTAAGAACATTAGCCCTGGCCAGTGTGGCTTAGTGAGTTGAGCATTTTGACTCCAGGTCAGGCCACATACCTGGATCGTGGGATCCATCCCATCAGAGTGTGGGGCAGCTGATCAATGTTTCTCTTTCATGTTGATGTTTCTCTAAAATCATATATATATACATATAAAAATGAAAAAAAAAAAAAAAAAGAGCGAGAGAACCAAGTTAAACACAAACTTCGGGCGGCATGGGGGCTCAGCACCCCAGCCTCATAAGGGACAACCGTACCACCCTCCTATTAGAGTCAAGACCAAGGGTTCTCTTTCAAGCTTTTATTTAAGGGCACGGATTCAGGATGGATTTTAGATCTTGTTGAAAGCAGCCACGTCCATGGACTGCACATAGTCCTCAAAAGCAGTGATCTGCTCCTCCAGCATGTCTGTTCCAACTTTATCGTCTTCCACTACACACTGTATTTGAAGCTTTTTAATTCCATACCCCACTGGAACCAGTTTAGCTGAAAAGAACATTAAGAAAAATCTTAGAGAAGTTCTGTTCATCGGCAAAGGTTGAAATTATGTAAATTTCAGATGCCAATTTCAATTAAGAAAGGCTGAACTCACAAGAGCCCCAGACAAGGCCGTCTGCCTGAATGCTCCTGACACACTCCTCTAGTTTTGCCATGTCCGTCTCATCATCCCAAGGTTTCACATCTAATAAGATGGAAGACTTGGCAACAAGTGCAGGTTCTAAAAAAAATAAGAAACAGCATTAATTATGTCTTTTTTACCCTAGTCCAGACACATATCTCTTTTTTAAATATGTTTTTATTTATTTCAGAGAGGAAGGGAGAGGGAGAGAGAGGTAGAAACATCCATAATGAGAGAGAACCATTGATCGGCTGCCTCCTGCACGTCCCATAGTGGGGATTGAGCCTGCAACCTGGGCATATGCCCTGACTGGGAATCAAATCATGACCTCCTGGTTCATAGGTCAATGCTCAACCACGGAGCCACGCCAGCTGGACCATAATAAATCTTGATTTTCAAAATCATCTCCTTAGCCACACAAAACTATGGGATACATCTGTTTGTCACACATATGCCCCCTTTCTGTTTTGCTAAGAAAGAGGTGTTTAATCGTGTAACAATTTCTTTCCCACAGAGGAATGCCACAACTGCCACCATGAGAACAGCTGCAGACCAGTAGCTGTGGAAGTTCTACAGAAAGTTCTGAAATACTGACCTAGTCAGTAAACGAGGAAATTACTTTGGGGATTAATCTCTGAAGAAGTGTATTCACACTATTATGAAATGAAGACAAACAATTATAAAATGACCTACTTTTGGCTTTCTTTGATTCATACTGTGCAAGGCGTTCTTCTCTTAGCCTCTTTGCTTCTTCGCTTTCCTGTAAAGAAAATATTTAATATATTTCACAAAGTTGGTTGTTCCTCAGGTTAGAGATAGGGAGGCCATCACAACAAATACCAGCTTTATCAGAAAAAAAGCAAATCCATCATGAGCTTACGTTCAGCCGAAAGATGGTGATTTGATTTTATTCATCACGTAACCAGTGAGAATTTTGTTAAAAGACGGCGATACAGTGAAGCCAGGATTCAAATCCAGGCAAGGAGGCTACAGAGCCTGTGCTTCAGCACGAGGATGCGCTCACACCCACCGGTGCCATACCTCCTCGTCGTCAGACCCGAAGAGGTCAATGTCGTCATCGTCGTCTTTGCTGTCGGCAGCTCCGCTTCCCGTGGTGTCTTCCACGTTAGCAGGGCCGTACTTGCCCAAAGCTTTCTTCACTCCAGGCAGGCTTAAAATAATAATAATAATTGAGTGTAACTATATGAGGGATACAACTTCTTTTTCAGAAAACACAGGAGGCCTTGCTTTCATCATTATTTACCAGCAGGACCCACTGAACGCTCCCAGGCTAAGTGCTTCCTGAGCTGCAACTCCTCTCCCAACAAACGCTGGTCGCGTGTGAGGCCGCACATCCCATACTCACCAGCGTTTACCCAGCGGTTCTCAACCTTCCTAATGCCGCGACCCTTTAATACAGTTCCTCGTGTTGTGGTGACCCCCAACCATAAAATTATTTTCGTTGCTACTTCATAACTGTAATTTTGCTACTGTTATGAATCGTCATGTAAATATCTGATATGCAGGATGTATTTTCATTGTTACAAATGGAACATAATTAAAGCATAGTGACTAATCACAGAAACAATATGTAATTATATATGTGTTTTCCGATGGTCTCAGGCGACCCCTGTGAAAGGGTCGTTCCACCCCCAAGGGGGTCGCGACCCACAGGTTGAGAACCGCTGGTTTCCCCTCTCAGGACAAGTGTTTCTGTTTTGAGGTTCCATTAAGTGTGCTCAGTTCACACTGGAGCCCACGCCCCCAAACTTCCACCCTGGCCGGCGGAGGTTCGGATGTAACCTCTAGAATTCAGACAGGAAGGGAGAATGGGAGAATTCACAAGAATGGCCCAGGCCCGACCCCAGGAGCCACCCTCTCACCCCAGAGAGGGTCCCCCCCCCTCCCTCCTCCCGGGCACCTGGGCAGGGCAGCGTGGGGAGAAGCTGAACTGCTGCCGTCCACGGGCTACCCGGGCGCACGGAGGGCTGCAGCCTCTTCCCCAAGTCACCGAGGAAGTGAGCTTACCAGGCCCCAGCGTAAGGCCAGGCGCCTGGGTCCGGTCCGCCCCGCCCCGTGAACACCTAACGCTCCAGGCGCACACACCGGCGGCTTTACCTGGCCTTCTCCTTCTCGTAGGACTTGATGTGATTGTACCAGCGCAGCGCATGGCACAGGTCGGCGGGCGGCGGGCCGGACACGGCTTCGAACACGGCCACGTCTGCCTGGGACGGCACGTACCTGCGAGGGCAGAGGGCATGACACACAGCTCCCGGGGCCCAGCCGCGGCGGGGACAGGCGCCGGCCCGTCAGCTCATCGGGGGCATCTCCCCCCGGCACCGGGCCGCCTGGGCGGCGTCCGAGTTGTAGGCAAACGGGCTCCTTAAGGGAAGGAACCACCTGTTCTGCGGAGCCTGGGCAATGCCTGACACTTGCTAGACCTCAGAGGCTGCGGTCTTTATGAATATAGACCGACGGGCTTGCATTCACTGAGCAAAGACGCGGAAAAAGCTGGGTGACATCCAGCAAGGGCTAGGAAATAAAAAAAAAATAAAAGCAGCTTTTGGACCCTCTTCCCCCTGAGCCCCTCCCCGAGGAGGGCCGCGGCCCGGCTGCCTGTCCCCGGCGGCGGGGAGGCCGCGCCACGTGGTCCCGGGCGCACCCGGCCCGCCCCGCGCTCCGCTCACCCCTCGATGTAGCTCTTGTCCGCCAGGTAGTTGTTGAGCACCTGGAGGCCGGACGGGCTTCTGAGGTCTCCAAAGCCCATGGCGTCGGCTGACCCGGGAGCTGGGCGGCAGCAGAGGGAAGCGGGACGCGGGCTACGGCCAGCGAGCGCTAAGAGGGGAAAAAGGGCCGCCAAAAGCCGGAAAACTCCTTATATAGAGACGGAGGCGTTTCCCTCCGCCGCCAAGGTTAAAGGTCAAAGTACGTTAACCTTCTCGTTCCTCAACATAAAAACCGGGGCTCTGGCTTAACCGGCCCACAGATTTTCCGGGGGTCTTTCTTTGTGTTGGGATATAAACTAATAGAAAGGGCATTTCTTAAATGAGTCCCTCGGCGCGCCCCCCTCCCTGAAGATCACAGGAACCGCCCCTTGAAGCACCGGAGATGACCGAAGAGGATCGGCCTCAGCCTCCCGGGCACTTCCGGCGGAACTGCAGGTCCAGGCCTCCAATCCCCGCCTCCACCTGGCAAGCCACGCCCTTCTCCCTGCTTTCTGTCAAATTGACGGAAATTGCCGAACTGAACCTGAGCCGGGGGGAAATTGGCGCAGCTGAGGTTTCTAGTCCCTCCTGGCTTCCCGTTCTCCAGGCCCGGCTGACGGAGGTCGCCGAGGCCGCCATATTGAATAAGCAACCGGGCGTCTAAGGGGGTCGGTGCGGTGCAGACAGTTCTGCCGAGTGCCCTCGGCGGCTCCAGACAGAAGGTGAGGACGTGTTTGGGTGCGAAGGTTGAGGTGCCATGGCCTCAGGAGGTTATTTCTTGAGAAAACTTTGCTTTGGCCCAGGAGACTCATTTCCCCCTTGTCCTTGACTGGGCGCTGCGTCCCACCCCGCCTCCCCGGGAGCCCCCGAGGGCCGGCCGGGGAGGTCTGCCGGCCCTGGTCTCTGGTCTGCTGGAGCAGGAAAGAAGCAGGCCCTGGGGAGCACTGGCCCGAACGCAGGCTTAGGGTGACCTTCGCTCCGCAGGGGCAATGCAGGACGTGCCCCTTTCTGGAGGGGAGGCCGTTTTGTTCCCTGGACGGGGACTTGTGTCAAGGGACTTCAGCCGACGGACGGAGCATTTTCTCCCCAGTCAGTACTTCGCTGGTCCAGTGCGTACGGTGTTGCCTTAGCAACCGTCCGCGCGTCTGACTGTTGGTTTGTTTTCGGTTTTGTCCATTGTGCGCGTTGGGTAGCGCTTTTTGGTCCTTTCGCCGGTCGGGGAAGCTGGAGGAGAAGACATGAAAAGTTAGAGCCCAAGGTCGCGCTGCGAGCAGCAAAGCCGCCCTGTTGGAAGGCCTTGGGCTCCCGAGCCTGACTGCAAGGTGGTGGGTCGGACACAGCCCTGCTCCGAAGCGAAAAACACACCCTGCATATCAGATATTGACATGACGATTCATAACAGAAGCAACATTACAGTGATGAAGTAGCAACAAAAATAATTTTGTGGTTGGGGGTCACCACAACACGAGGAACTCTATTCAAGGGTCGCGGCATTAGGAAGGTTGGGAACCACTGTGAGAGTACAGTGTAGACAGTGTAGTGAACTGTTTCTGATGACTCCACATCTAGAGTTTTTTTTGTTTAATGTTCTTCTCTCCCCCCCCCCCCCCCAATGTGTGTGTGCGTCGTTGCTGTGTGATTTTTGAATCTGTCATTACTCGAATTCAGCCAATTCAGGTTTTCCTCGACATCCGTAGGTTTTAATGGGACAGATGCTACTCATTCTGGAAGTGGGTGATTAGCTCTATTTGATGGTTTTTTAACCCCAGGGACCTGGTGTTAAGTCTTTAGAAGAAGGAAGTGACCAAAGGGCATTATTTCTTGTGCAGGAGCCTGCAATGTAGTCGGTACTGAGGTTGGTGGCTAGCCTGCAGTTTGCTGGGTGGAATAAAGATGTGTGTGCAGTGTGCGCCGAGAGTGTGAGCAGGAGCACGAAAGAGCACTTTTAAAAACCGCTCCTAAGTGGCCAATCCTGCCTAAATGCACTTCCGCTTGAACTGACATTTATTCGGCTCCAACCTATAGCACAGCCTCGGAAGCACTGTTTTCTGCTCTTTAGATCAGCAGAAACTCATGCACCAAAAGCCACTCGCTTGTAGGCGACAGACCTGATGTCTGCAAATCCAGTATCACAGGTTCAGAACTGATGAATTTTATGAATTATTGAGATCTGACGTACTGAAATTCCCTGTTATATATCATCTGTAACAGGCGTGTGAAGCTTGATGCTTAAAACTTAGGTATACGAGGTACACAGGGTGCCCCAAAATACGTCTACACGCTTGAACAGCAAGAAGCTGTTAAATGAAAATGAAATGTATCTTAGTAAACTGCCTTTAAAATTATATTCAAAGTGTGTATACATTTTTGGGGATGCTCTGTACATTATTTTCCACTCTCTTTACCTTTGAAATTCTTTATGTTGATATATTCTGATCACATAACTTGCATTTTTAAAAATTCCAAAGTGAAAAATTGTAATTTGGATGCTTAGCCCATCTGATCAAGTAAATGGACCAAAACCTCTAAAAGTTCAGCTAACTTTTCTCTTTGCTCATGTATATGCCTTTAATCGTTTACATAATCCACTTCTATGTATTTCAGTAATTCAGCAAACCTTTTAGAGCAGAGTTTTTCAACTTGCAGCACTCGACACTTGGGGTAACTCTTAGGGGGACTGCCCTGTGCATTGCAGGATGTGTAGCGTGCCCTGGCCTTGCCCCTCAATACCTGTAGCCGTCCCCAGTTGTGACAGCAGTGTGTCCAGGCATTGCCAAATGTTCTCTGGGAAGCAAAATTCTTCCTGGTTGAGAACCAGTGTTTTAGATCCTACTGTGTCAGCCTTGGGGGTAGGCATTGAAGATAAGTTCATAATGCAGTGAGAGTAGAACAGATAATTGCAAATCTGTAAGTTCAATGTACTCAGCACAAAAAATGGCACTCCAGACACTTCAAAGGGTTGGGCTTGTGAGCTAGCTCAGAATATCTCAGGAGCATTTAGTATGTAATTGCTAAGAATATTAGAAGGCATATTGTTAGGAAATGAAGGTAGAAAGGTAGGTTTTACTTTACATAGATATTAATGATAAACTGTTATTCTTGAAATTTGTTTTACTGTATAATAGTATTTTAAGTGTGATAATTTGTTAATAGTTAAAAACAACAAATCTGCCCTTTACATAGAATTAGAAGGCCCAAATTTACATACCAGCTGCTGCTTCTTAGCTCCTTGACATGGTGTAAGTCAGTAATCTTTTTGAGACTGAATATTCTCATATATAGAATTTGAGGGAAAATATCAGGATTTGTCAGTGTTCAAAGAAATAATGTATGTGGAATGTTTTAAAATCATAAAATATTACCAAAAAGTTTATAATTAGGGTTCTTCCTACAATAATATAACTCTTCTTTGTTTCATTCTTAGCAATATGTTAAGGATACCTGTGAGAAGGGCCTTAATAGGCCTTTCTAAGTCTCCTAAAGAATATGGTGAGTTGTTTTTTTTAATTTGCATTTGTTTGTACTCAACTTTCTATTTTTATAAATTCATAGATCTGTGGAATGTTTATTGCAAGACCCTAAACTCTTAATTTGTTTGAAATAAAAATAGAAACAAATGACCCAAGTCAAGTAGGATAATTTGGGAATTATAACTTTACCTTAAACAGTTTATAGAAATCATCATGGAATGTAAAGTAACTGGAACTGCCCATCATTGCTGCAAATGAAAAGAAACAGTCATTCTGCTTTTGAAAAGTGGTTTTCCCATGAACATATTTTTAGTGGTATAAAAAATTTTAACTTAAATTGCTATTAAAAGTAGACAACTATATTCTGTTTGGTATTCAAGATTAAAAAGCTTTTTTGGTAATACACTAATTTAAAAGTTTGAATCTGTAGAAATTTTAGGCTTGTATGTTAGAGTTAAGTAATCCATTATCATCTGCTATAATGAATTCAACCATATTAATCTGTTTTTCACTTCAATATTTTTGATGGTCAGTTCGAACAACAGCCACAGCAGCAAGCAACTTAATTGAAGTATTTGTTGACGGCCAGTCTGTCATGGTGGAACCGGGAACTACTGTCCTCCAAGTAGGCATATGTCCTAATTCTCTACTTTTGTGCATGTTCTGCTTTTTAGAAAAATACCAGTTTATTTCTTTATACTGTTTGTTTATCTCTAAAATTTTTAAGATTCCTTGATAAATACTCATAAAAGCACTATAGGCACATGAAAATAAGTAATTTGAAATCTTTGAAATCTTCCAAAGTGAGCTGTCATTTATGTTTCTGACTTTCTTTTATTTAAAATTTATTTTATTGATTAAAGAGGTAAACATAGATTGGTTGTTCCACTTACTTATGCATTCATTTCTTTTACGTGCCCTGACTGGGGATCGAACCTGAAACCTTGGCATATCAGATCGACACTAACTAACTGAGCTTCCCAGCCAGGGCTGATTCTCACTTTCTTAGTGAACGATGGCAATTCTTTTGTTTCACTTCTGCCTTCCAAATAAATGCTCATTAAGAAATTTGAAGTTACTTAAAATTATTAGTTAATATAGGTAAGTTTGGGGGGAAAGTAACCTCTGTTTGTTGTGAGCCTGCTTGATGCTTTGACTTTCATGTAACCTTTCTATTTTCAGTATATTTCTAGGAATATAACCTACAAAACAGGTAAGTGAAGGCCAATACATTCTTGAATATTTAGTTTCTCCAAATTTCTCCAGAACTAAGAAAATTGTTCATGCAGAAGTGATGCATTGTTGCATCTGCAAGTTCTCACAGAGCCAAATGCTATGTATTCATTTTAGCCACCATTTCTGGACTGTCTGCCAGGTATAGACATGTAAACAATAAATACATAACAAAAATATGTTCAAGGTACAGTGCAGAGTATTTTGGCAGGTATAGGAGGTGGTAGAAAGAGATGTGAGGAGCATGTCGGGTGATTCCTGAGGAGATTTGAAAGGATATAGACAAGGTTTGCATTGATGGAACATAAGGTATATGTAGAAGATGAGATAACAGGAAATCAAGTTATTCTGTAGGGAAGGTCCAGTCATGAAAGAAGATATAAGCCATGTTAAAGAGCTTGTAGTTTCACCCATCAGGAGTTTTTGTGGCTATTGAGCAATATGTCAGTGACAGTAGGATGATGGCTTGTGAGAAAAACAAGACTGGACTGAGAGATAAGGAGAGAGTGTCTTGCATTAGTGGAGCAGGAAATGAAAAGGCCTAAAATAGATGGAGCAATGGGAATGAAAACAAGATCGAGTTAAAGGAGAGTGAGAGGTAGATAGGCCTTTCGGAATGATGAAGAGCAGAGGGATTTTTGTGGATTCTTTGTTGGCTTATTTGGGGTGAATTAGTAGGGACAGAAATAGGTTGAATTTTAACTCTTTGGAGCATACACTTGCATAAATGCCTTTTTAAGTCTAAAGCTTGTAGAAGAGAGAACTCTGGGCTGCAGATGAAGAATGTGAGATATTACAAAGGCTGCGATAATATCATTTACTGCATCTAGCAAGTAGGAAGACTATACATTTTGCTAGGTAGTTAAAACATTGAACATTGCTTTAGAGCAGCGGTTCTCAACCTGTGGGTCGCGACCCCTTTGGGGTTCAAACAACCCTTTCACAGGGGTCGCCTAAGACCATTGGAAAACACATATATAATTACATATTTTTGTGATTAATCACTATGCTTTAATTATGTTCAATTTGTAACAGTGAAATTGGGGGTCACCACAACATGAGGAACTGTATTAAAGGGTCGCGGCATTAGGAAGGTTGAGAACCACTGCTTTAGAGTGAGGGCTAACTCTAGAGGAAATCTGAATATACTTATTGCAGGCTCAGAGAAGGAGGAGTGCTAATTGGTAGATAGAACTAATCCCTCTTACTAGGCAAACAGGAACTGGGAAGAGCTTCAGTCACAGTGGGGGTGTCAGTCCTGGGTTGGCTATTTGGAGTCAAAGCTAGAACCAGATCATAGCCAGCGAGGCTGTGTGAAGTGGAGTCTCTGATCTAAAGGAGGAGGCAAAGAAGATGCCCATGTATGAAACCACTGGGCTAGAGTTTGAATGGGAGTCGTGAACAGTGGTTCAGAATAGAAATGGGGAATCAAGCCTTCAGTCTGAAGCTGCTTCATTTAGTTTCTTCCATGTAAAGTGTAGACATGGCTGTGGATCCTTAAAGAGGCAGCTTCAGAGCAGACTGAGGTTGGAATCAAGAGCAAAGAAAGGAAATCTCTTCGAGGATGAAGAAAGAATGAATGAAAATACAGATATTTGTAAATAGGACTAATAAGATAGGTAGGAGGATGGCCTCACCCTCCCTCCCGTGTTTTAGGCACAACTAGAATGAGGTCAGGCTATTCTAATGCAAAGCTTTCTTACTTGTTGTCTTCTAGGCTTGTGAGAAGGTTGGCATGCAGATCCCTCGATTCTGTTACCATGAAAGGCTGTCAATTGCTGGAAACTGCAGGATGTGCCTTGTTGAAATTGAGAAAGCTCCTAAGGTACTTGATGCCTAAAATTCCACTCCATGCTGTGGAAGGTAGAAAACTTTAAATCTCACAGCAAACTGTATTTAGAATCACTATTATAGTGGAGAATCTAGCCCTTTTTACTTCTTTCTATAAATTAATTTTGTGGATGATTGATTCTCTTCAAAAGTGGAAACACATTGATGAAAGTGCTTTGTAAACACAAGGGCTATAAAATTCTAACAAATTCAGAAATTAAAGGTGTCTTTTTACAGCTGTCAGTATTTCCAAATGGCTATATGACACACAACTGGGAGGTGGAGTTGCTAAGCAGTACATCAGAAGTGCTTATGCTGTGCCGTTTTCAGTAGAGAAAAGGATAGCAGTGAAGAGGTTCACTTTGAGTTTAATTTCATTTTGGCCTATGCAGTTTTAATTCAGTAGTGCCTGCTAATCAAAAAGCAGCTTTGTGATGTTCTATTTCAGACCCTTATAGAAAATCGCATTGGTAGAATAAAATGAAGATCTAGGATGTCTTATTTGTTTCTAAAAGAAATGTAAAGTGTCAGATTATCATATTATGAATATGAAAGTTAAAAAATTCAGTCTTCAAAAATACTCTCTTTTTTTCTTATTTTCAGAAGTATAATGTTTTTATATGTTGGGTTACTTATAATTACAAATAAATACAAATACTTACAGATGTTTCTATTGAAATTTCAGGTTGTAGCTGCTTGTGCCATGCCAGTAATGAAAGGTTGGAATATCTTGACAAACTCAGAGAAATCTAAGAAAGCCAGGTACTTACTGTTACTTGGCTTAGTAACTTTTCTTAGACCAGAAAATTATTGAACTGAGATTATTGCAGTGATATATTACTTTACTGGTCCTGATTTGCTTTGCATTTGTGTGTTTGTTTTTGTTTCAATTAATATGAATATTTTTTGAGGACAGTTCAGCTTCCGGTAATTTTGTGTTGTTATAAGTCACAATTTTTTAGATTCTCTAATGATACTTTTTTTTTAAAAAATATATTTTATTGATTTTTTACAGAGAGGAAGGGAGAGAGATAGAGAGTTAGAAACATCGATGAGAGAGAAACATCGATCAGCTGCCTCCTGCACATCTCCCACTGGGGATGTGCCCGCAACCCAGGTACATGCTCTTGACTGGAATCGAACCTGGGACCTTTCATTCCGCAAGCCGACACTCTATCCACTGAGCCAAACCGGTTTCGGCCTCTAATGATACTTTATTCTAGGCTTCTGTAAGCATTTTTTAGGTTGTTTTTAATACTACTTGGATAATGGTTACATTGACATTTCTGATAACTAAAATTAATACTATATGATAGCATACATCTATGAAGGTTATTTAAATAGTATATGAAAACCATTTTATATATTAACTTTTCGTACAGGGAAGGTGTGATGGAGTTCTTATTAGCAAATCACCCATTGGACTGCCCTATTTGTGATCAGGGAGGCGAATGTGATCTGCAGGTATGTAGGGTAATCTTATGAATCTATTTGGTAGTCTCAAGTTTTAATTTTATTACCAGCATTAGATTAACTCTCTTGTGATCTATTTAAGGACCAGTCCATGATGTTTGGAAGTGATAGGAGCCGGTTTTTAGAGGGGAAACGTGCTGTGGAGGACAAGAATATTGGGCCGTTGGTAAAGACCATTATGACTAGATGTATACAGTGTACTCGCTGCATCAGGTAATTCCCCACCCCCCCTTTCTGGAATATCATTTGTATACTTATTTAATATTCATAAAATTTGGTGGAATAACAACACTTTCATTTGGTGGGAGAAGAGGAATGTTTTTAACGTTTTTTTTTGCATCAGCCAATAAAATGAGTAAGTTGGTCACTTTTGGTTAATATCAATGTCAGTTGGATTTAAAAACCAAATCTATAAGCATTAACTCTGTGGTAATTTGCTGAGCTATATACATGTAATTTGTGCAATTTTATGTATGTGTGCTATGCCTCAAATGCAAACATTGAATTTTTGTTTTTTAAAAAAATATTTTTTTATTGATTTCTGAGAGGAAAGGAGAGGTCAGATATAGAAACCTCAATGATGAGAGAGAATCATTGATCACTTCCCTTCTGCATGAACTGGGGATTGAGCTTGCAACCCAGGCATGTGCCCTGACCAGGAATCGAACTGTGACTTCCTGGTTTACAGGTCGACAGTCAACCATTGAGCCAC